ACTAATTTTTCACAATACATTAGCTTAGACTGGACTATGATGCTTGAAACCAACTTCACTCAAAAAGAGAAAGGGAAGGTACGTATTTGGAACATCCACATATTCAGTCTGTCTGATCCCCTCCCCAATCCATATAAACCAATTAGTGATAGAATAATGATTCCTTTCGCCTTTTTCCTGCTCCAACTTCTCCTCATTTTGAACCATAAGTTTCCCATCAAAAAGCTTTTATTCTGAAATTGAGGGGCTCCCCGTAAGGTTAAAAGCTGCACATTTTGATAACACATATGGTAACATCTGTCCAATGTCAAGGATTTGGAGCCATGACTAGTCTCTTGATGTGAACAGAAAAGACCAGGTTCTGAGAGCAGAGCCTGACTGTTGCCCCAATCTTAAGAAAGGAGATTATGCAATAATGGCATGATCAACACTAAAGCCTATCAGCTAACTGCCCAAAAGCCCAGTTCCCGTGTTTCTACTCCAACAACCCTGGTAGTGATTTATATCTAAAAAGAGCAGAGATTCTGGGAGAAAAATGAAGACTGGTTGTTAGTTTCCCCCTTTTATTTGTAGAAGATGCCTTTATATTCAGCATCAGGGAAGAGGGGGAGGGACTGGTAAAAGTGGGAGGAGGAAAAGATAATATAGAGAAAGGAATTCACTAACTACCCAGTTGTTACTCCCTGTTTCAATCTGACGTTTGCCTTCTCTATTCTTTCAAGATTATGGGCAAAGACAACACAAATCAGAAAGAGATTCTCTGCCTTGCCTTCTATGGACACTGGGGCTTTAAAGTGGTACCACATTAACAAAAGAACTATAGTGACTGCATTATTCTAAGTCTCAGCTCTCCTCATCACTTACGAGGGCAATGACATTGTCCAAAGTTCATTCAGGTGTTGAAAAAGATGTGGCTTATATGAAACAGATGTGCAGCTAACCTTTTCTTTCTACAGAGGAAGTTAAAGGCAAGAGATATATTCAAGGAAATCACACACACACACACACACACACACACACACACACACACACACAGGAATTCATTTTGGAAATGTACTTTCAATCATCAGAGAAAAGCAAGTGTGTTTGATGTTGAACTCTTCGACATCTACTGTGAAAATTAACAGCAATCACTCACTGACCAACTACTGTATACTAGGCACTCTATTAGGCTCTTTATGCATAATATCTTTATCAGGATGGAATTGTTAGGCCCCATTTCACAGGTCAGGAAACGAGCTGAGAAAAAGTATGTAATCTCTCAAGGTTACTCAGCTTGTATACAGGAGCACTGGGGCTCAAATCCAGACCCAAGGGTTCATGTGCATGTTCCTACCCACAAAAAATTTGAATACAAAAAGAATTAATAATATGTAATTATTCTCATATCGTTAAATATGAGATTTACAAGTACCAGCATCTGTAATAACTATTAGGAATGCAAAGAAAAGAACAAGGTTTACCAAACTCTTAACTAAGGGCCAGGCTCCCCCAGTACTAAATTCTTAAGACACAATAATCTTCCCAAAGAGCTTATGAGATAGAGACTATTATCCTCTCTCATTTTACAGAGAAAACCAAGGTTTGCAAAGGTGAAGTAATTTGTTCAGGGTCACACAGCAAAGAGTTCACAGAACTTAGATATGAACCAGGAAGCCTGATCCAAGAGCCTCTTTTATTAACCACTAGGGCTGCAGATCTCAGGAGTTCACAAAATTGAAGATGCAAAGTCAGAAGCCATGCGGAATATTGCATAAACAGGCCTTGGATTTCCATTTACTTAAGAACAGGTTACGATGGTTCTCAATATAGGAAATTACTTGGCAAGGAAACAATGGAAGCAAGAGCAAACCCAAATGACTACATGCAGCTCTGCTGATTGCTCAGATAAAGACTCCATCATCCCATTCGGCTGCTTGCCAGCATCTCGCTTTTCCATATGTGTTTGTTAAACTCTAGGGTGCAACGGTCCATCAGCAAACGGACTAGAAATGCCTTCAAATTGTCCAACTGCCCTATGCACAATTTCTAAACATCTAAATGATTTTAGCTCCAAAATACACTTACAGTTGGAAAGGCAGCAATTGCTTCCAAAAAGAGATCTTTTTCTTCATTTTAGAAAAAAATATCAAAGTATGCTGCACCACAGTTGAAGGAATGCTTTGGAAAATTTTTTAAGACTCACTGCCCAAGTTCCATGGTGGAGGAGCAGATCTTTACAGCACTGAGGCAGCCTGCAAAGGTGGAGCTGCCTGGACTCCTCACCTGGATGCAGGGGCCTCTGGTTTAGCACGTGGAATTAAGGAAGTCCTGACCTACATCCCCAAAGCCTGCAGCAGTGCTTGTTCGAACCAGATTTTCCCACAAGGACAATGCAGCTCACAACCCAGAAACCTTTATTTTTAATTTAGGGAGAAAGGCAGTCAACAAATCAAGTCACTGTCACGTGACCACCTGCAGAACCAGGCCAGGCCGTAAAAGGAGTTTGCTTCTTTCCAAATAGCTTCTATCAGACTGTTACTGTTATCTCAAAACAGCTGCTTCAAATTGGCCACCATATATACATGCAAGCACCAGGCACCTTTACACTCATGCCAGAAAAACATGTCTCCTCCGACTTCCCCAGCTACAGTCCTGTTTTTTATGTTCTAACCCTGTGTTCAAACAGCCCGTTTCATTTGCAACAACATGGATGAACCTGGAGGACATTATGCTAAGTGAAATAAGCCAGGCACAGAAAAACAAATTCCACATGATCTTGCTTATATGTGGAATCTAAAAAGACTGAACTCCTAGAAACAGAAGGTCAAACACTGGTCACCAGGGGCTGGGGGTGGAAGATCAAGATGTTGGCCAAGGGATACAAATTTTCAGTTAGGAAGAGTGAGTTCCAGAGATCTATTATACGGCATGGTGACTACAGCTAATAACAGTATACTGTATACTTGAAACTCACTAAGAGTAGATTTTAAATGTCCTCACAAAAAAAAAAAAAAAAGCATATGTGAATTAGCTCAATTTAGCCATTGCACTATGTATACATATTTCAAAACATGTTGTGCACCATAAATATGTCGATTTAAAAAAAAATTTTAAATGTACATATATTTGTAAAACAAATAGCCACTAGTTCCTTTCATACAGTACATTAGAATCTCTCCCAGGTTCATCTCCCAGCTCCTAAGGCGTGTGTATAGAACGAGGTAAGAGCTCACACTGGACCACAGCAAAGGCTTCCGGACTCATATCCCTCCCCTTCATCCCAGCTGCAAAAGCCAAACCTAAACCAGCTCTTCCCTGAGTAACAAAGTCCATCCAGGTTTTATTAGCCTAGATTTCATTAGCTATGGTTCTTAACCTTGGTGGCACAAGAGAAACACCTGAGAGGCTTTCAAGAATCCCAATGCCCAGTTAACTCAGAATCCCTGAGCTGGATTCAGATATCAGTGTTTCAGAGAGTTCTCCAGGTGATTTCCCTATGCAGCCAAAGTTGAGAACCATGGCTTCTACTCCACTCATCAGCAGCCCTGTGACCTCAAACAAGGCTTTTAAGATGTGATTGTATCAATCTCCTCCCAGGGAAGAGGGATGGCTCCCTGAGCTAACACAGGCAGAGTGCTTAGCACAGGGCCTGGCATAGTCAATTGTTCTTTTCCCTTTTAATATTCACACTGAGGAAGCAATTCTATGAGTGACTGAATTATGATCATTGGGTGAAATCTTTCATTTCTGCAGCACTCAAGGTGGTGTCATGTTTGGGAAGGAGACAGGAAAGAGGGATTGAGAAGGAAAAGACGGTGGAGGCAATAGTTGCCTTGGGTTCCTCTTGTAGCTTGTATCAACAACTCTTTTTCTTTCCCTTTTTTTTTTAACGGCCTCCCCCACCCCCACCCATCCTCAGGTGAAAACATTCTCCTGATGGTCTCACGCCAACTGGATGCAGCTCAACACCAAATGTCTTCCAAATGGCTTTTCTCCATGTGAACGTCTGTGTTCTATTTTATTCTAATGTATTTAGCTTTTATCCAAAAAAAGTCAGTTTCTAAACCACTAAACAATAAGAACTTAGAACTCAAATTATATAATATGCAAAAGGCAAGATATGAGCCCTTTGGGACTGAGGCCATCTGTCAAATACCTGAACTAGTGGTTTTCCACCCTGGCTATAAAGAATCAGCCCCAATTTCAGAGATTAGCTTAATTGATAAATAATTTAATTAATAAGTAGATGCTTAGGGCTCTACAGTGGAGCCTTAAGGCCTAAGCTCTCAAGCATCTATTTAATTTAAAAACTCCCTACAGCTGAGGACCACCAACTACACACAACAACGAAAAAGAAACACAAATGTTCATCATCTCAGACACCAAGTATACTTAAAGGACCTCCTACAGTAAACTAAACCACCTTTGGCGAAAGGTACCAAATTCAGGAGGCCTAAAGAAAAAGCTCATTTTTGTGGAAAAGCTGCCCAACCTGTGTCTTTTTTTGTTTTTGAGACAGATCTCACTGTCACCTAGGCTGCAGTACAGTGGTGTGATCTCTGTTCACTGCAGCCTGGAACTCCCAGGACTCCAGTGAGACGTTCAGTGAGGTGTCATTAGATACCTCTTAATGGAGGTATCTAAGAATATCAGAATCCCCAAAGGGACAGTGAGATCTCCTAAAATAATGAATGTTCCCTGTGACTGGATCCATAAATCCTATTTGAAGAAATATCTGCACAAATCTAAGACTTTAAACCGAATTAGCACTTGTCAACACATATTCAATAGACAAATTAAGGACCCAGTAAAAGCCATCCCAAACTTGATACTAAATTTATTTATGCATTTTTCAAGCAGTTGTAAAGCTTAGAACTTGAAATCATACTCTGAAAAAAATACATTAAGTAAATAAGCTTATCTTGCTTATAAACACACACACACCACCACCACCACAACACACTTCATGAATTTTCAAGCGACTCAAGGTGACCACTCCAGGAAAGCCACCACCTTACCTCTGAATTTCTTAGGTGGATTATTAAGGTCCCCGGTTTCTGGCTGTACAACACAACGATCATCAACCAGGCTGTAAAGAAGACAGACAAATGCTCTATCAAGTCAAGTGTATGAAAATAAAACTCTTAGCACTATGCAAAAATCAGATGTCCCAGGGCTTTTCCTGTGCAAAATTTAGACTGCCATATTCTCCTGCCAGCAACTCTTTACACTAGAGGCTTCCTATGCACACATCTAAACCTAATCCAAAAGCCCAGGGTTCTGTTCTGTGAAGGACACATTAAGCCACTGTTTTCTGTGGCTCCTTCCCCATAACCAAGTCCATGGTAGATCTGAGTATAGCATGCAATGTGGCTGAAGTCAAGAGACAAAGCAAGGGGCTGTTGCATTCGACTAAAGGAGCACAGCAGCTCACTTTGTATCACGTGAATATGAGCCAGGCCCTTGCCCTTGGGGGAGTTCAAGGCTAGTGCAGGAGCCTTAAGAGCAAACTGGTAAGGAGAATATAGGGCTGTAAGAGAAGGAAGAAAAAAACTACAGCCAGAAGCGAACTGTGCCTGAGGTCATCTGAGAAGATGCAGACACAGGAAGTTATAATGGAACTACTGGAAGAGTCGAAATAGACATGGGAGGCTAACGGGGAGCATTCCAGGTGGAGAGAACCATAAGCGCAAACTCATGGGATATGAAAGGACTCTGGAGCATCAAAAGCAACTAATGGGGAAAGTGCAAAAAAAATTACAAATAAATTAGCTCACATTACATAAAGACTCAGTATTTAAAGTCCTGACTGCTAAGTCTAACTTGCACAATTCTTTTAGAAGAACCACTTAAAAATATATTTTTGAACAGATGAGGGAACTAAGACTCTGAGAAGTTATACAACTTGTCCAAGCTCCTAAAACTGGTACTGATAGAACTGGCTCATCTTCCAAGTGACCACAGAACCTGTACTTGTTCCCAGCTAACAAGCTACGGTTTTCCAGGGTTCCTCCATTCATCTGTGCTGCCTCCTCTTATCCCAAATGCAAGGTACCATTAAATATTCACCCTTTACCCTTGCTGGTCTATCCTCCAAAATTCCCTTTTGCCTCCTAAATTCCAGCCTGTCTTTCAGGACCCTGATCAAGTGCCCCAGCTTCTCCACAAAGCTCCCCAAGCCTTTCCTGCGCCAGATACTCTCTGCCCCTCCTCCGTCCTCCCAACCTCACTGACTGAGACTCCAAAGCTGCACCAGGCTACCAGCTCCATGAAGGCCAGAAGATGCCCAAGGATAGCAGCTCAATATCTATTTGGTGGGTAAATCAAAGTGTCCATGGCAGCCCACCAGCAGTTTGCCTCCCTCGGCTTCATGACACAAGACCTCACTGCATCAACAGGAGGGACAATGTGGCCAATGGCCTCAGTTCTCATGTAAAAATCAAAAGCAGAATATACATATATAAAATCCCCACCCTGAGCCCCTGTAGGTGTAAGTATAGTAGTGCCCCCAGAGCTAACATAATGCTTGACAGGGTGGGCTCAGAATCCAGGGTAGGGCTAGGTTAATAAATCATCGAGTTCTCAAATGGGGAGGAAGTGGTAAGAGAAGCCCAGTCGAGCTTAGAAGACAAATGAATTGTAGATGACACTCTGCCACCTACTAGCAGCATGACCATGACTATGGCATTTCACCCTTATCGGTCTGTTTTTTCATCTGTAACATGAAAGTGGGTCTCAGGGATTCTTAACTAGGGAGATGTTCAGACTTATTGTTTCCAAATATACTAACATCAGGACTCTATCAACCCAGCTTACTAAAGCTGTGCTGTAGGACGAGGCCCAAGAATTGCCCCTGCCTTTTTTTTTTTTTTTTTTTTTTTTTTTTAAAGAGATACAGTTCTTGCTATGTTGCCCAGGCTGGCCTTGAAAGCTGGTCTTAAACTTCTGGCCTCAAAGGATCCTCCCATCTCAGCCTCCCAAGTAGCTGGGATTACAGGTGTGAGCTACTCCACCCAGCTGAACCTTTATTTTTAACAAGCTGAAAAGGCAATTCAGAAGCATGCCACTACGGAGTAGTGTGCACACACACACTTGCCCTCCAAGATCCTATGGGAATTCTAAAGTTCAGTCAACAGATGAAGCCATTTGGAGGTAACCACCATCTACGTAAATGGGATGGGGCTGGAGTGCTACACAGTGAGTCCTGTTACAACTGACAGTCACTCATTACGGTCCAGAACAGGTGGACTATAAGGCTACAAACATTAAAAAGAGGACATAAATGCTAAAAATATTAAAAAGAGGAAGGGATGTCAAATTTTCTTTCCAACTGCATTTTTATACTGCTATCCTCAAATATGTGCAAGCAACTGAGAAAATTAAGTATTCATCTCAAGGAAGTATTAGCAGCCCAAAGTTCAAAAGGAAGCCCTCCTTACTTTAAAAGGGCAGGAGGGATTCATCATTAATTTGCTTACAATGTTTGAGGAAAACACTTAAAGAGCACTTCATATGATTTTCAAGAAGAGATGCCCTGGAAGAGAAAAAAGGTAAAAGGTACAAAGATCTCAGAGGCTCAAGAGGCACCTGGGTGACTGCGAAGTCAAGACACCCAGGGGAAAGATGGGCATTGACTGGGCTGAGGTTTAACCTGGCTTCCAGATAGGGGCTGGGCACAGTCAAGGAGGAGGGAGAGCTGTGGGCAGACAAAGAAGCTGGGAACAGAGAAGCTGGCCTGCAGAAATCAAGTGTTGGCAGCCTTGGCCTTGTAGTCTGACATTTTCTGAGCTGTGCAATCCTGGGCAAGTGGCTTTGCCTCTCTGAAGCTCAGAGGTTTTGCCTCCACAAACAGTGATGGCGATAGTGTTCACGATAGACAGTTGTCTGAGGATTAAGGAAGATGTAGGCACAGTATTCAGCACAATACCTAGCACACAGTGAATATCCACCAGGCTCATTTAGTGCTTTGCATTTATTACCGCTGTTGTCATTGCTGAAAATAAGAAGAGGATGAGAGAGTCAACCATGGACGATGAAAAGAGGAAGGAGCCAACCACGAAGAAAGAGGGGACAGTCAGAGGCAGGGCAGCAGGAGGCCTGTTTGCCAAAAGCCACAGAAGATAAATTGTTAAGGATGGGTGCATAATGGAGAGAGGTCAAATACAGAAAGTCACTGGATCTGGTGATCAGGCAGTCATGGATGACTTCTTTTCACTGGATGACATTTGAAAAAAAATGTCTCTATAGTGGGAGCACATGTCTAATTGAGCTGTAATTCTGTATCTGTAAAAATTTGCTCCCTGAGGGTGGAGTAACCTGCATGAGAGCCTAGGACTACTTATCGTGCACAAATACCAGAAAACAAGCATGCTTTAAATAATAGCTATAATTAAAAGAAAGGTCTGGCTGCTGTAAAAATGAGGTTCTTGGAGAAGCTGCTGGTCTTCCTTCCCCCAATTTATTTGAGACCAGCTCTTGCCAAATTCAACAATGCCACCCCGGTCCTCACTACTCTTTTCTACACAAAGACAATATAGACCATTCGTAACTATTTTGGAGTTAACCATCTTGATTCTCCATTCTGCTTCTGTCTGCCTTTGGGACTATTTCATGTCTCATTTCCTCTTCTAGACAATAGGCGTAGGAGGAGAAGGGAGAAGATAATCAAATGAGTACATTATGAAATATATTTATAACCTGAAAAGTCGTATAAAGATTGGGGGAGAAAGCACAAAAAAGCAAAAATCAGATTTATACAACTTTATGCAACTTGTAATCTTCAAATGCATATAGCAATGTGAAGTAGGAAAGGTCTGCTTCAAAGAAAAGAGATAGGCAGCCCAGGAGGTTTGGTCTTTGCTTATTTTATAAACGAGTCAGTATTTGAAAAGAAGAGCCTTTACAAAACTAAAAATCACTTCTTCAGGCTCTGTAAATATTCATCTTTACACTTCATCCCATCTAACTTTATTCCACAGTGGAATAAAGGCACTCTCCCTTTTATATAGGAAGGAAGAGCAAATTTTAATAAACTCAGAATTAATAGTGTCCTACATAATGAGGTTTTGCTCTTTCAGAAGTATGCAGAAAATTGTGTTTTTCTATGAGAGGTTAAACTTGGCTAACATGGGAGTTGGTGTTTGTGATTTCAACCGCACTTAGAAAGCCAAGTAAAATGGTAACATTCTTATGTTAGAAAAATCGCAGTTTTAAGCTGATGTTATGATGTCTTAAACAAATACTGCCACACAAGAAACTGCATGCTCTTACCCCAAGGTGCTAATAAATCCATTGGTCGATCCCTCCGCGTACAGAGAGCAAATGTCTCCAATATGTAGGAAGCTAGACATTTTGTCAGACATGCCTTTCTCGAAAATCCTAGACAAAGTAAAATATGCAACATTGTTAGAAGAAAAGAAATGCTCGGAGAGGGAAAAAAGTCACTAAGAGTTGGCTTAGCTCAATTTTCCAACGCGCCTTACTTAAAAGTCAAATTTAAATAAGAGTTTGACAGGCAGGCAGTTCCATGAGCCAAGTGAGGACATATGCAACAACATTTTTTTCCCCATATATTATTTAATTTCAGGATATTCCAACCACAGGAACATTTGTTTCTAACAAAACCATGCCTGAGTCAAATTCTACAAGTTGAGGACCCTCGATGATAAAAACTGCAGTGAATAGAAAGCCTGCAGGGAACTCAGCCAAGAACGTTGCAGTGATTAGGGAGTTAGTTGGAAAGTCTGACTTATGAAACATTAACATATTCAATTTGCCTCAGGGAATGTTAAGTCAGAAGGAAACACCTGGTATAAAACTTGGGTCTGGCCAGGCCGCAGTGCCTGGGCTAAGGTACCAAAGCAACAACATGGCATTAATAAAAGGAAACCCAGTAATAAATACCACAAATTTCCAGCAGCCGTTTAGGCCTTTTAAGAATTCCAAAACTGTATGCACTTCACCCAAATGCTACTTAGATGTCTTTTTCCTTCTCGTCCTTCATCAAGAAACACTTCCAGAGGACCAAAGTCCTTTAGGCAGCACCTGGCCCGGATCCTTCAGTATTTGGGTAAGAATAATAAGGTTCCCTGGCCAGGAACACACAGCTAGTTAGAGACAGTCTTCGAAAAAGCTCTTAAGTTTCAGGAAATCTCTACATAGCCCAAAAATCGTTACACACACACACACACATAAATATCAACAAAAATACTGACGTGACTTCTAGAAGCAGCTTTCATCAGGGCCATAAATATTGAGGAGTGGGAGCCAATTGTAAAAAGCTACACTGACATTTAAAAAACAAACTCCGTTTTGTGGGAAGGCTGTGTGCTGGTGTGGACTGCGGCTAATCGCCCAGTGTTTCCGCAGGCACTTGGTGTGGAGATCCCAGGGTAACCCAGGTTTTCCCAAGATCCCTCCTCCAAATCCAGACACTTTTACAGCACTTTCCCTGTCCATTTACTCAAGTTCCCCTTCCAGAAGCCATTTACCCCATACAGCCACTAAAGATGTGACGGTATGGAACAGTATTATGTCTCCTTCCATTGCTTTCTGGGTGCCAAGTTTTCTTTCAGGAAGAATTATGCAGCAATGATCAGCATGAAACTTTGGGAAGCAACCTCCTACCTTAGCAGGAATGTCAGCTACTGAAAGCAAACTTATGTTAAATAACCTCAGTTCACTGCTTGGAAGAAGCTGCAGGGAAAAGCTAATTTGTCATCCCCTTTCCTCCCCTCCAACAACCCAGACGCTGCAGATAAAGAGCATTTCATTAAACATGAACTTATTTACAGAGGGAGACAGCAACTGAGAACACAGAATAAACTCTCAAACAAAAGGGCCAGCATCTCTAGACCTTGAGGGAAGACACATAAATAACGTGCAGAAGGACAGTTTGCCAAGTACCACTCTCTGGAATCATGTCAGTCATTGTTTAATTCTTTGTAACTACATTATTTTACACCTAAAGCCAAACCAGTGTTTTAAACAACATCCAGAAAGACAGCACAAATGGAAAACAAAAAGGGGAATTAATATTTCCCTTCTGTGCTTATGTTGTAAAGCTTTATCTTAAAGGGTCAGGAAGTCAGCATACTTCTGGGATCAATTATTAGAAGACAATGTGTCTGAATTTTGAGCCAGACCAAATTTGTGTCCATACACCCTGGCCTCCCAAAAGGACACCAGGGAATTTCCAAATGCAGGAGAGCAGGTATGTGCTCCAGCAAGAGGACTAGGGCCTTGTCCAGTGTGACTAAGGGTCTCCTTTCGGGATAGCCCTAGACAAGCATTCAGCCCCAGTGGAGACCAGGCCAGGAAACAGCAGTGCCTGCTGTTTTGTGAACTATCACCACCACCTGGATACCTTACTGAAAGATTCCAGGCCCTTCATGGGAAGAAGCAGACTTCAGTGTCCTCAGTGACAAAGCATGACATACCCCATGTTGCCTACAGGTGATCACTGCAATAGATGTCTGGACACTCCATTCCTACTGCATGGTTCTGCATTCTTTTCTTTTCTTTTTTTTTTTTTTTTTTTTTTTTTTTTTTGAGATGGAGTCTTGCACTGTCGCCCAGGCTGTAGTGCAGTGGAGTTAGGCTTACTGCACTCTCCAACTCCTGGGTTCAAGCAATTCTCCTGCCCAGCCTCCTGAGTAGCTGGGACTACAGGCATGCGCCACCAAGCCCAGCTAATTTTTTTGTATTTTTAGTAGAGACGGGGTTTCACCATGTTGGCCAGGATGGTCTCGATCTCCTGACCTCGTGATCCACCCACCTCGGCCTCCCAAAGTGCTCGGATTACAGGCGTGAAACACCACATCCGGCCCATTTTCTTTTCTGATAATAATAGCGGGCATCTATCAAGGATTTCTCATGTCCACCATTGTGCTAAGGGCTTTACAAATGTTCTTAGTAAATCCTCATGACCACAGCAGGAGGTAGGTAGTACCATTATTTCCATTTTATTGTTGGAAACACTGAGGTAGAGAGGTAAGATGCCCACGTCACATGTAATTAGCAAGCAGGGGGATCAGGGTTGTTATAACCCAGGTTTTAGATGGAATCTCACTCTGTTGTCCAGGCGGGAGTGCAGTGGCGCAATCTCAGCTCACTGCAACCTCCACCTCCCAGGTTCAAGCAATTCTCCTACCTCACCCTTCAGAGTCGTTGGGATTACAGACACCCACCATCAGGCCTGCCTAACTTTTGGATTTTTTGTAGAGATGGGAGTTTTGCAATGTTGACCAGACTGGTCTTGAACTCCTGGCCTCAAGGGATCTGCCCACCTCAGCCTCCCAAAGTGCCGTGAGCCACCACGCCTGACCCAGGTCTATCTGACTCTGCAGAGGAGGTGTTTATCAACAGTGATCCTGGGAATACAGGTTAAAATAGTCAATGTTCTTATGCTCTGGATGATTACAGAGAACTGAGTTTCTTCTTATGGACAATTCTGTTTCCTAATTTTTCTACCATGGCTCTGTAAATACTTTTGTAAGTCAGAAAAAAAAATTAAGCATCTTCTAACCAAGATACTTATTAAGTGGCTGAGATAACTGAACAAGTAACCTTGAGCCACATTTTACATCTCCCCCTGAAATCACAGGCCAGTCCACCCACCACTGCTAATGATCCTCTGGGCAATCTGCCAGGGGCTCCCCATTAAAAACAACCAAAAAGGGTGGGGAGGACAGATCCTTCCCAGGGGTCTCAGGCAACAATTCCACTCACAAAGGACTGGGCAGAAAGCTTGCTCGTCTGGCTAGAAATCTCTGGAGATCTCCTCTGGCCTCCCCTTAGTGAAGTGGAGGAAGGAGATTGGGAGAAGAGGACAGGTTTTAGTGCAATTATCAGTGATGTCCTGGAAGGAAAAACAAAGGCCGGGAAAGTCAACAGAACAGGCCTCACTGGCCGGGAGGGGTGGAGGTGGAAAGTCCGCCCCAGAAGCGATGGGCCTGGGAGCAATCTTCTGGAAGACTTCCTGTTGTTCAGAAGTTGGGTGGGAGAGCCCGCCTCTTTATCTGATCATGGACCATTTGTGCCTGTAAACTTGTAGCAGCTGCACTCAGGGCTGCTATGTCACTCACACCATGACAAGGACCACCTCAGAGAAAACAGAGCTGGCGCCAACCTGCCACTGAGCTGCAGAACTTCAAACGCTTATGGACACCCAGGTCTCTGCTGACAAGCCATGCCTGACATACATGAGGGCAGGCTTAGGTACTCGGCTCCCACATTCCACCCTGGCTCTCTGTCCCTAAGCTCTTATTGGGAGCCCACTGCCACCTCTGTGCTTTCATTTCCTTGTCTGTTAAATGGGGGTAATACTCACTTCGAGAGGCTGTGGTGAGGAACAGATGAAATCATTCTTGAAAAGCACCTGGTACAGTGGCTGACATACTTGAATTGCTCTATGCTATTTTTTTTTCCTTGAGAGATAAAGTGGAATTCTGAAAGATTTCAAGACTTTAAACTCAGAAAAGGATCCCCTGTTTAAAAAGTCAGATGTGTATCATAACGAATGAACTCCTATATGATCCATGATGATAGATTTTACTTTAAGGAAGATAATTTATCCTTCCTAATTCCCCTGTTGAAAAAAAGGTGAACAATACTGAATTACGCTCAACTCCCAGCCACAGAGCGTTATGGCCTTTCAGGAAACACAGAATCATAGAATAAAAGTTGGAAGGAACCCTGTAAAGCATGTAATTCCACTTACTGCCCAATAATGGAATCTCCCCACCACGCCGCCTATGGATGGTCTCACTGGGCAATAGAGCCTACTCTATGTTCAAACAGCCTTGTTCAAACAATTACTGCTAAACCAGGCACAGTGGCTCATGCCTGTAATCACACTTTAAAAGGCCAAGGTGGGAGGATGGCTTGAAGGAAGGAGTTTGAGACCAGCCAGACCCCATCACTACAAAAAATAAAAGTAAAAATACATTAGCAGGGCATGGTGGCACACCCTGGGCATGGCGGCACAACCCCAGCTACTTGGGAGGATCACTTGAGCCCAGGAGCTCCAGGCTGCCGTGACTGTACCGCTGCACTCCAGCCTGGCAAACAGAGCAAGACTCTGCCTGTGGAAAAATAAAACAAAACAATTACTCCTAGCCCCTCAAAGGACAGCTGCCTCCCAAAACTTTTGCTATTCATCTGTCCTCTGATGCATCTAAGACCTCTGCAAATGTGAATACTATCTAGATTCTTTCTCAACATTTCATTTCTTTTCACAAAGTATCAACATCCTCCCCCCAATTCCTGATGCAGCATGATCCCAAGAGCACCACTCAGCCCATGGCAGGCAAAGAATCTCCAGGGGATCCAGAGTCAAAGTGCCCAGGTTCAAACCCCAGCTCTGCCACTTACTCACT